AACGTCCTATCGTGTGTTTGTTAGACTCTGGTATATCATTGTTGGAGAAATGTCTATTCAATTTCTTTGCTATTGTTTTGTTGGGGGTGGTGATGGAGTGGCTGCCTGGTATGGGGAACTAAACCTTTGAACTTGGTGTTACAATTCTGTCTCTAACCAATGGAGGTAACCAGTCAGCCACCTTCTTTGCTTGTTTTTTAAACAGGTTATTTGTTTTGTTGTTGTGTAGCTGTGGAACATTTTTTCATTGTGTATTCTTCGCCCCCGCACCGGACCGGGGACCGGCAACGGGACCGCAACCCTCAGCGCTGCTCCCGCACCTCGCTCAGCCAGTGAGCGGGAACCGGTGTGTATGTGGGATCCGAACCCTCGGGTGGGAGCGCCACCGCACTTCCCAAGAAGCGCACCTATCCAGTGCGCCACCGGGCCGGCCCTGTTTTGCATTTTCTAATGTTTAATGCTGTTAAGCGTCTTATCATGTGTTTGTTAGACACTGTTATATCATTGTTGGAGAAATGTCTATTCAATTTCTTTGCTATTGCTTTGTTGGCAGTGGTGATGGAGTGGCTGCCTGGTAGGGGGAACTAAACCTTTGAGCTTGGTGTTACAATTCTGTCTCTAACCAATGGAGGTAACCAGTCAGCCACCTTCTTTGCTTGTTTTTTAAACAGGTTATTTGTTTTGTTGTTGTGTAGCTGTGGAACATTTTTTCATTGTGTATTCTTGATGTTAATTTCTTGTGCCATAGATGATTTGCAACTATTGTATTTTTGAGGTGCTGAAAATACTATTGGTTTTTTTATTCAAGATTCTACTTGGTCATTGCTGATATGTTGAAACGTGATAAAATTTTGTTTATTAACCTTGTGTCCTGCAATCTTGCTGCATTCACTTATTAATTCCAGGAGTTTTTTCATTAATTTACTAGAATTTTTTACACAGATACTCATATCACCTGTAACCGACAATTTTATTGATTTATTTTTCTGAGTCTGTAATCTTTTATTTCATTTTCTTCTCTTATTGAAGTATGAAGTACTTCAGTGCGATGTTGTGAGTGGTGAGAGGGCCCACTATTTCCTTGTTCCTGACTTTCTGGAAAAGCTCTGAGTATTTCACCATGAATAATAATTTTAACTGTAGATGTCATTCTCCCAAACTCATTCTGAGGCAGACATCACCCTGATCCCAAAAGCACATACAGACACCTCCAAAAAAGAAACCTATAGGCAAATATATTTGATGAATATAGACGGGAAAACCATCAATAAGATATTTGCAAGTAGAATACAGCAACACATACAAAAAGTTATACATCACAGTCAGGTAGGATTCATCCCAGGGATGCAAGAATCATTGAACATACATAAGTCGATAAATGTGATACACTCCATCAACAAAATCAGGGAGAAAAACCATATGATTATCTGAACAGACATTGAAGAAGCATTTGACAAAACTCAACATCATTTCATGGCAAAGAGTGTCAGCAAATTAGGTATAGAAAGAAAGTACCTCAACATGATAAAAGCCATATATGACAAACCTAATGTCACTGTCATTCTGAATGGGGAGAAGTTGAAAGCTTTTCCTTAAGAATGGGAACAAGACAAGGATATCTACCCCAAGCTGTTATTTAACATAGTATAGGAAGTACAAGCCAGAGGAATCAGGCAAGAGAAAGGAAGCAAGGGCATCTCAAACAGAAAAGAGAAAGTCAAATTATCCCTGTTTGCAGACATAATGATCCTATATACAGAAAAGCCTAAAAAGTCTCCAAAGAAACTCTTAGATTCCATTAACAATTTCAGTTAAGCAGCAGTTTTTGCATCAATATGCAAAAATCACTAGTGTTTTTGAAATAGGAGGAAAAAAAGTCAAGAAAGCTATATTCCATTTATGGTAGTCACCCCCAAAATGAGATATCTTGGAATACAATCAGCAAAGGATGTGAAAGATGTCAACAATGGAATCTACAAATCACTGTTGAAAGAAATGAAAGAAGACAACAAAAAGTGGCGAGATATGCCATGCTCTTGGATTGGAAAAAAATGGATTAAAAACTTAAATATAAGACTTGAAACTATAAAATTCCTAAAGGAAATTATAGGGGAAACACTTCTGGAAATAGGGCTAGGCAAAGGCTTTATGCATATGACCTGTGCAACATAGGCAACAAAAGAAAAACCAAACGGGATTATATCAAATTGAAAAGCTGCTGCATAGCACAAGAAACAACAGAGGAAAAGAACAACCTACAGAGTGGGAGAAATTATTTGTAAACTATGCATGCGATGAATGATTATTATCTAGAATATACAAGTAACTCAAACAACTTAAAGGAAGAATGAATAGTCTGATTTTAAAAATGGGCAAAGGAGCTGAATAGGCATTTCCAAAAGGAAGATATACAAATGGCCAACAGATATAGGCGAAAATGCTAACATCACTCAGCATTCAGGAAGTGTAAATCAAAGCCACATTGAAATATATTACCATTCTAGTTAGACTGGCTACTATCAAAAAGGCAGAGAATAACAAATGCTGGTGAAAATGCAGAGAAAGTGTAACCCTCCTATACTGTTGGTGGGACTGTAAATTGGTACAGCCATTATCAAAAACCATGTGGAAGTTCCTCAAGCAACTAGAGAGAGAGCTGCCATATGACTCAGCAATCCCACTGCTGGGTGTATACATTCAAAGGATTGGAAAAAATCATGAAGAAGGGACAACTGTATTCTCATGTTTATTGCAGCTCTACAGGAGGCAAGAGTTGGAATCAACCTAAATGTCCATTATCAGAAGACTGGGTAAGGAAAATGTGGTATATTTATACAATGGAATACTACTCTGCCTTTAAAAAGCATGAAATATTTAAATTCACAGCAACATGGATGAATTTAGAAAAAATTATTTTAGAATAAGGCAGGTACAGAGGGAAAAAATTTGCATGTTCTCACTTATATGTGACAGTTAAGAAAATAAATAACTTAAAAATTAAATAAAAGAATTATACAACAATCACAATATTGTTCTTCAGGTAACATTGAAATTTTGATATTTCCCTGCCTTGGACTGAATGTCCCCCCAAAACTTGACCCACTCAGTGACAGTGTTAGGATGGTGGGTAATCCTGTTATGGTAGTTGGTAGATGGGGCCTTAATGATGTGATTAGATTTTTGGACCATACCATAATGAATTGGTTAATAATGGTGGGCAGGGGTGTGGTTCTGAGGGCTTTAAAAGAACAGGAGAGGTTGACTGTTCTCTGCCGTACCATTTTCTGCCATGTGAGACCCCTGGGTCACTGTCATCTCCACCAAGTTCTTCACCAGCTGGGTTACCTGGACTTTTGACTCACCATCTTTGGATCTACAAGCTGTAAATTTTCTTTTTCTAACAAATCACCCAGTTCCAAGTATTTTGTTATGAGCAACAGAAATGTACTAATACATTTCCAATCTTTATCTTCAGCTTAGATTTCTCTTGAGCTCTGGAATCATGTATCCAATTCCAAATTGGAAATTCCCACAGATAATTCAAGTATAATGTATTCAAGTATGTTTTATTTCTGCCCGTTATATTTTTCTGTCATTCTAAAGGCTGCACTTTACACTGCCAGTACCTAATTAGCAGTAATTATGTACAGAGCATGAGAGTAAAATGCTTTTATTTTCTGTATAGGAAATTAGTACCACAGTGTCTTCCTGCTTTTTGTTTCTGTATTACTTTCCTCTTCTGTATACTTCTTGCTGTGTTATTTATTTATTTTCTATTGGTTGGCCTGTATGGGGATCTGAACTTGTGACCTTTGTGTTAACAGAAACATGCTCTCTCAAGCAAGTATGTTTTATTTCTGCCCGTTATATTTTTCTGTCATTCTAAAGGCTGCACTTTACACTGCCAGTACCTAATTAGCAGTAATTATGTACAGAGCATGAGAGTAAAATGCTTTTATTTTCTGTACAGGAAATTAGTACTACAGTGTCTTCCTGCTGTTTGTTTCTGTATTACTTTCCTCTTCTGTATACTTCTTGCTGTGTTATTTATTTATTTTCTATTGGTTGGCCTGTATGGGGATCTGAACTTGTGACCTTAGTGTTAAGAGAAACATGCTCTCCCAAGTGAACTAGCTAACCAGACTTGCTCTGTGTTCTAATGCAGCTGGCCTTCAACCACCCTGTTTTCTTCTGCTCTGATTCTCTCTAAAGCTTTTTCTATTCTCCTCATGGATGACTATTAAATTGAAAATCTAGTATGTAATTTGTATTTACAAAGCACATTATTTACACTCTGTGTTTAGAAAGTGGCAGTGCTCACTTTTATGCAGACACAAGCAATCCTTTGGCATGTGGGAAGGAAATTTTGGAGTGCCTTTGTATATGCTTTCAGTTTACAAGTATTTAAAAAACAGCAATTGCATATAATATTTCACTTTTTGAAATAGAAAAATATTTAAACACAGAAGCATTTCATAATGTGTTTCTTTAATAGTGTGTGTATCTGTTATCACCCCCCATTGGCATTCACTTAGACATAGTACCATGTGTAGTTCCATTAATGTGGAGTGTCTTCCTTTGCTCCTGTGACTGCAGTTTTACTGTTGCCTCATACTCATAAGAACATGTGGTTCACATGGAAGAGCTTAACATCTTTGGCATTTCAGTGGAGTGCAAACAATGCAGCATGGAAATATATTTTGTCTTTCTTTTCCCATTCTCTATTGAATTTCTGTCAAAATTTGTTAATCTGACACACTGGTTCAGGTATGTATTTATACTTACGTTTTCAAACCTGATTATAAACTTCTTGGAGAAGGAGCATTTTATTCATATTTTTATAACTAACAAGAAGAATGGTTTGTGGCCATAAGGTAAGCTTTGTAATCATATTTTTAGTAATTAATGTATTATTAAAGTGACAGGATTATTCCTGCTGGGTTTTCTTCCCCTCCACTGTATGGAGAATAGAAAAGCAGCATCTTATTTAACACATAAGACACTCATCCTCACACACAGACGTGTGAACACTGAGATTCCTACTTTGTGACCCAGGGCTGGTGGCTTGAATTGAGATCAATGTGCCATTACAGGAGTTGGTGTCACTTGAGGATGTGGCTGTGGACTTTACTTGGGAGGAGTGGAGGGACTTGAGTGATGCCCAGAGGACTTTGTACAGGGATGTGATACTGGAGACCTACCGCAGCCTGGTGTCATTGGGTGAGTGAAACACCCCAGTAGTTTTGAGGAGAAATATTTTGTTATTTTTTTTATAAACATAGGAATGGTTTATAGGGTTTTATGCTATTTGGTGAAAACCCATGTCATCCCTATCTAACAAAAGTTCCAAATTGGCCTCTTTATTGTATAATTTCTGGAGNATAGGAATGGTTTATAGGGTTTTATGCTATTTGGTGAAAACCCATGTCATCCCTATCTAACAAAAGTTCCAAATTGGCCTCTTTATTGTATAATTTCTGGAGCTGAGCTCTTGTCACTCTTCCAAGGATCTGGCTTTGCAGTTTTATAAAGTCCTGTATTACTTCACATTAACAGGGTACTGCATTAGTAAACCTGAGGTGATCCTCAAGTTGGAGAAAGGAGCATAGCCATGGATGATAGAAGAACGCCCAAAACAGAGCCTCCCAGGTTAGTAAGCACGTCCTGGGCAGAGTCCAGGGAGAGTAAAACCCAGCAGATCTTGACTGTGGTCAGCTGTTTCTAGGAATATTGCCACAGGTCGGTGAGCTGAGGCTGGCTCATCTCCTTGCATCATCAAACACATGTATTATGTAATCTGTCAGATGGGCTCATACATATATCTCTCCATATCTTATTTTGCTGTATTTTAACAATGTGTTTTCTTAAAATATAATCCCTACATTTATCTTCTTTGACATTTATGTTTGCTATTCACTTTTCAATTATTCTTTTGCCCTCATGTCCTGCACTCTCATGGACATGGTTCTTCAGACTCTGTCCTTTTAAGTTTCTTAAAATATCTGTAACTGGGTAATTTATGAAGAAACAAACTCTAAGTCTTACTGTTCTATTCTGAAGGCTGAGCATTTCAAGGTCTAGGGGCTGCATGTGGTACGGGCCTTGTTTTTGTTGGTGATTTTTGGCAGAATCCCAAAGTAGTATAGGATATCACATAGGAAGTTGATAAGAAAATGAGAAAAGAGGTCCAGGTATGAGTCTTCTGTACCACCCATCAGAAATTATGGAGTTGAGACAGACTGAGCATAGGGCATGGAAAAGGAGAGTTCTGGATTTTATAGAAGAACCAGGTATGAGACTCATGGTATGAAGGTCAAGTGAACCAAGGGTTTCAAGTTGAAGGTCTGAGATTGCTGTTTGGAAGTGGAATTTGAAGTTAGTATTCTGTTCTCTTTGTAGAAATCACTTTAAAACAACAAAGAAATTTAGAAATGTACAGGAGACTCTATTTTAT